GAAAAGGCTTTTGACCGAGTCAATCACCGTTACCTCTTTGAGGTGTTACGGAGTTTTGGATTTGGACAGAAGTTCATTCGTTGGATAAGGCTAATGTACACCGGTGCCACTTTTCGAATATAATATTCATTGAAAGCTTGTGAGAGAGTATGTTTGTTGTTTCGTGAATTCATTCTGCTGCACTTTTTTAACTCTTATGTCTTTCTTTATTTGTAGCTTAACGATTTTGAAATTAGACCGGGAATACTATTAAAAGCTAAACTTAACGTTCCACATTTACCGATCCAATCACAAGGTAAAGGAACTAAATATTTCAGAAACATTTGGGAAAGTTAGAAAGTAGGTTTTATCGAAAATCTCTAGAATAAAAAGGGTTAACATAACTTGTTAACAATAACTGTACATTCACCACTCAGTATTTTTGTTACGAAGAAGCCTATTCTGATAGGAAATTTTGTTAGGTGAAAATTGTATTCCTTTCTGTGCAAAACTAGTCTACCAATGACTCAACGAGTATAGGTCATTACTAAAGGAAAGAATTTTTCTGCAAAATAAAGCCTTTTGATAGTAATCCAGATTTTTCGCCAGCATTCACTGGTTTTTTGATAATTATATTTTTTCCTTCTGTCAGAACTTATATTTCAAAAAGCAGTGTCATGGAAAGATTTTAGTCAATGTTTACATTTATTAGGCCAACGACTTCAGTTGTCATTAATGATGATATTCAGTTACTTTTTATCATTATTTCAGACTCAGAACATGGCATGGATTCGCTTAATGATAGTCTTCATTTTATTGAAAATAATGGAAGTAAATGATAATTCATTGGTTAAATTTGAAAAACCTATTCATCAAGATCAACAACAACAAGAAAGATTATCTAAATTAAAAAATCAGAGAATTTCAACATTTGTTAGTTCTACATCTCTAGTAATAAGACTGTCAAATAATGAACAATAACTACTCATCCATTGCCGTTATATTCATCATTGTATAACGAAACATTCATGTCTATATAATCCGGTGATATTGAGATCTCTATAATGTCTACACGAGTTTTTTGTCCAGACCTGCAAGAATAAGGTAAAATATACTCAGCTTTTATTTTCCACTACTATTTAAAAAAATATCAAGTGCTTTCGACTAGTGTTGGAAAGCGAAGAAAAATATGTCTGTTCGAATTTTGATCGTAATATATTGACTTATCGCTGACCTAACATGTTATAAATGCCAATAATTCGACCAAAAACTACAGCCTGGAGCTCGTATCTGCTTTGAGTTATTCATCAAAGAGAATCATAGCTACTAAATAATTGGACAGTAATTGAATTATCTATTCTTTCTTTTTCAGCTGAAGGCTTCTTTTGGACGGATACCGGGAACAACCTCTCTTGGACATAGAATAAATGAATATTTCGAACATAAACCTCTTTCGAAAAATAGAAGTGATATTCTTTGAAGTTTGAAGATGAATTATAGTATGAAGAAAAGGAAAAATTATATATTAAACTCTGACTGATATAGAGTATGTATTTTTTGAGGTTGAACAGTTGTGAGACAATAACAATGACTAATTCGTTTTCTTTATATTTTATTAACCGGTTTCGATTCTCGGTGACAAAACGTTGTTAAGAACTCGGTCTCAAAACGACAAAAACAAATATTGCTAGAGTAGAGATCTACACGGACAAGATTTCTTTGCCCGTGCCCGTCCCTGAATTTTTTTCACTGTCTGTACTTGTCCGTGCCCCTGCAGAAAAAACCTTTTTTTTCTCTGAGGTGACACATACGGCTTTTTCTCATCATTTTATGGCTCAAAAATTTGAAACATTTTTTGGAAAAAAACCATACCCATCGAAGAAGGCAGTTTCCTGTCCATGTCTTTTTTTAGCCTGCCCATGCCAGCCCATGTCCACAGGCAGTACGAGCATGTCAGCGGCCACGGGAATTCCGTACCTGTGCAGATCTGTAGACTAGAGGCTAATCAAGTCGGATTTTTGACATTTTAGTTTCGCAAATAATCGTAACCGTCAACACACTGCTGTTAAGGCTGTTATTGAGTATATTTCTGCATTTAGACGACTCTTCACATCTGACTGATTCTCTTCCTCGCTCTTGACCTATGCATCCAGGGCCCTGACACACATATTCCCGCAATTAACAGAATTTTATAATTTCTATTGAATATAGTTTGGTCGCTCAGTATAATGGAAGCACAATACATTCGGCTGTGCGTTATTAGTTTAGGAGGTCGACTCGCGTTTAATTCAAGTTACCTATGTACTTTGTCTAAGCACATACTATACTCATAGGCACATATTGGTTTTTTAGCGAACGCTCAATCGAACGCTTTTTTTAATAGCGTAGAGTTTTCAGACAATAGAGCACACAGCCTCTGTTCGTTACGCAAGACTAGGCTATTTAAAATGGTTCACTCTCACGCTACAATCCACTGCTGGACCGAACTAAGAAAGTAGCTCAATCAGTCAATCAGACGCATAGTCACCGTCGTTTTAAATTTAGTATCTGTAGAAATCCATCACGGTGAACAAATTCTGATAGTGCCTGATTGTAGAGAAATTTGAAACATTGAAATTTGAAACATTTTTTGGAAAAAAACCATACCCATCGAAGAAGGCAGTTTCCTGTCCATGTCTTTTTTTAGCCTGCCCATGCCAGCCCATGTCCACAGGCAGTACGAGCATGTCAGCGGCCACGG